GACCTTGAGACCCGACCCGACCGAGCCCGACTGGTACTGCCAAATTTGAAACCCGAACCCGACCCGAACCCCAAAATCGGTCACGCTCTTTTCCTCTCAGAGCGAGTAGACACACATGCCCACACGGAGACGGATTCTCTTAGGCGCTGTTTTACAATGCTTTGCTCGGCTGCTTTGCGCTCGAGTTAATAGACAGAGATTGCCGAGAAATATGGTCCTGAGAAAACGCTGAGGAAAACTGGTATTTAGGTCGTAATGTTTCCATAACGAAGCCGTCCCCAAACTCATTTGGCATTTTGAGTAGTTCGCCCTTTGTGAGTTTAAGTTTTATTTCATCCATTGCGAACAGCTAGCTAGGCAGGCTCTGTTACACACGTACAGTACGAGAGAGAGAGAGAACGAGCGAGCGAGCGCGCAAAAAAAATTGAGTTACAAATTTCTTATAATAAAAAAATGCAAACATAAAATAATAATAATAATTATTCATTTTCGCTTATTAGAAAACAAACCCGAGCCCGAAGTTGTAAGTGAAAAACCGACGCGAAACCCGATACTTTGTCGGGCCCCGTCCGGCTCGGGTCGGGTAGCAGACCTCTACTGCACCCCGAGAGTGTGCAAGCACCCCAGGTAAAGAACCCCAGCTATAAGGCATGGAGCTCTGACCAGGGGGGTCTCGAGTGACCCCCCACCAGTAACCTGCCAGAGACGGACAGGAGGATCCACCTGTCAGCTTAAAACTGAAACCCCTGGTGTTTAGGTAGGGCTCGACTCCCCACAGACAAATGGAGAAGAGAGCATTTAAAGGTAAGGTCCAGTCTGAGAGCAGTGAAGAGGGGAGGGAGGAATCTCTTATGACAATAAAACTTCCCTGCAGAATTCATAAGGCACACAGCCGATACTCAGGCCCAGGTAAGGAGAACTGCTTGCTCTTTCACGCCTGGACAACGGCTTTCATCAGGTCCTTTCACTTAGGTAACAGGAGCACGCATCCCGACACACGCATACGGGACACCGCCCCGGGGAACAGGAGCCGGGTGACACGGGCCGGGCGCAGACAGGTGACGTGATGCCGAGAGCCAGCAGACACACACCGTCTCGCGCTCGCAGGAGAGAAATTCCACCCAGGTAACGATAGCCCCCAGCACGGCCGGGGCACTCGTAACACGGCTGGGTCACGTTACGGCCGTCATCGTCACCGAGGCCCGTGTGAACGCGGGAGGGCGTTCAATACGTCTCGACAGAACCTGCAGCAGACCCGGCAGGGGCATGCGTACATGCCTGCACTGATAACGATACAGATTTGGAACCCCCAAGTCATTTTGATCGCAGTCAGTGCTGGGGAAGTTCAGCGGCCGCTTGTTTCTTCTTGAGGCTCGTATTTCAATCCGCGAGGCTGCCGTTTCTATTGACGCCTGCGATTACCTAGGGTTAAATGACTGCTGCCAATGTATCTGTTTACAGTGTAACTGTAACTGTAAAGTTGTGTCATCAATAAGCCTTTTCAATGGGAATTTTAACCGTACATAAATGTGAGTGTCGTTAATGCATGCACAGGGAGAAAGTGATTTACAGAAGATGTAATAAAGTTATGAGGACCTACTGTATGTGTAGACTTCTCTTTATGCAAAAAAACGATTCGATGGCTAACAATAAGCTGATGGCTTAAAGGCAGTCAGGATGGCTTTTAGGCTTTGAGGTTAAAGATTTGATTTCGGACAACCGGCTGTGCATCACCTTGGGACGCACAGTGGACACAGTCAGAAAGACAGAATGGCATGTCTTTGGAGCTCCATCTTCCTCCAACTAATATGTACAGAGCAGACAAGCGTGCAGTTTACACAAGGGAATGCAACGAGATACTGAGCCAGTGACATCCACAACAGCTCTCACAGATCATCTCCTACACTGTATGTCAGGCACTTTACATGTAAATCAATTAACTAATCAATCAAAAGCTTCCTGAGACTCTGCGGTACCCCACTGTTGCAGGACTCCACTACTGTCTTTTGACACTCAGGTAACGCATTTAACTGTAGTCCTATAGCCACGTCTTATCAGCGGTGTGTAGTATTCTGCCACAGTTCCTCAAAAGCGCCTTTTAACAGGCTTCCAAATGGCTTTGCAAAAGGCAGTTAGTAACACACATAAGTCATTAGATGTCACTGTGAGACAAGAGATACAATTTTATTTCAGGTCATTTTTGCCAGCTGTTTGATTTTGCAAACAAGCCCTTCTTCTGTAAATCATTTTCCCCCTGCATGAACGACACTCACATTTATGCAAGGTTAAAAATCCCATTAAAAACACCATTACAGTTACACTTTACAGTTACACTTGAAAGCTTGTCAGTAGTACCGTAGCAGTACTGTCAGTAGTACTCTGGTGCTACAGTATAGAAGGGGGGTGAGGCCATTGATTTTATTTTTAACAGTGCGATAAAACTTTTTGAGTTAAAATGTATACTTCCTAAATCCATTTTGGAACTGCTTCTTCCGATTCAGAGACAGAGAGGAGCTGGAGCCTATCCTGTCAAGAAAACGTGCAAGACAGGATAAGTCCCGGACAGGATTCCAGCCCATCGCAGGCCCGACAGACACAAACACAAACACAAACACAAACACAAACACAAACACAAACACAGCAGGGCCAGCTTTCCCACAAGCCAATTAACCCACCAGTAATGTTTTTGGACTGGGGGAGGAGACAGAAGCACCCAGAGGAAACACACACCAACCCAGGGAGAACATCCAAACTCTACGCAGATAGCACTGCCGGACCGTGTAGCAGCAACTAAGTGTTGCTTTCCTAAATGAGGCCCCCATCTCTCTTCCTCACCTCTGTGGTGCACCCACAGAGAAGCTATTCATGTAGTTCCTGTTTTAAAGTGTTTTCTTTCCAAGAAGGAGCAGCTCCCAAATGGGGGACGCACTCAGTCATGGCTGGCTATCATAATGGATGGGCCACTCCTGGCGCCGGGACCCTAGGGCCACAAACACCTGGTTTATGGTCCTAGGGGTCAAGAGGTCAACGTTACTCCTTCCTACAGTTGACCAACCAATCAGGAACCTGCAGGGCGTGGCTCTCAAATGCCCGCCAAACTCTCAACCAATCATCGTCCGTCTTCGTTCTAGGCAAAAAGACACGGCAGAGCTCAGAACTTCTGAGCTTCTCCGGCCATTCTGTCGGCCCGGTGCTGTCTGTATAGGGACTGGTCCCTTGTTTCGGCAAAGTGTCGGCCTGGGGAAAAGCACGTACGTAAGCCCGAATCGCTAGCAGCCAACGCGGACGCTTCGCTTGACCACCGAGGTGCCCGTTTGGCCTCTTGTGAATAAGTTTTTATTCAGCAGCAGCACTACGCCGGAAGCAGACCACGTTTCTTCCACCCTAAAGAGTGACTTGCTCAGACGCGGTCACCCTCTGTGCAGAGAGACTTTTTGCTAGTCGGACTACTAGTCGGTCCCTGGGAGAGCACCAACTGTCCCGCCCGTCGCAGAGAGACTCTCTCTCTCCTTCCTTCTTCCTGCAACTCGGAACCACACCAGGATGGGTTGGGCCCCGAGCCAGCATCGCGCCGAGAGGTCTCTTGTATCCGTCCCCCAGGAAATACAAATCCATATCTGGATAAGTGATCCAATATTCTACATTGCTGATCGAGAAGTCAACTGTATCTCAGCAAGGGTTGATATCAATTCAATTCGCACGAGCAACGCATTTACTTACAGGTAGCTAAGGTAGAATTCATATTCCTGAGACCGAATGAAACAGTACACCTGAACAGTATACCGAATGCATATTCCTTGTTTTGTAACTCTTTGTGATCGCGTACAGTATATCTTGTATCTGGTAAACCTCACAGTGAGATCTGTCATCTGTATCCCGGCAGACTGTTATATGTTTTATATGCACAAGTTCTGCATTAATAAACGTATCTCGTGTATTGAATCCGTGTGTGTGTGCGTCGCTGATTGTTCCTGACGATTGATTGTCTAATAGCCATAAAAGAACCACCTCGTGCTTTACTGCTCCAATTAATAAATTGTCCCGGTAAATTCACAAAAACTCCTACAACCGGAATTGTAACCAACAGCTGAAGGCAGTATTGCCAACCACTGTGCTCTGTTACCTCCCTATACTATTAATACTTACAGGTAATTTTCTAACCAGCAGATAGCACCCCTCCAATATCAGAAAGTACCTTGGTTTTTGTAGAAACCCCCACAGTCCAGAGCCCATCCCAGAAGCATACCCCAATGGTGGGACACCGGTCTGCCTCAGTTACATCTCAGAGATGTTACTGAACCTTCTTGGCATGTTAGGAAGGTGGGGTGAAACCGGAGCACCTGGCAAAGACCTAAGCAAATATAGGGAGACCATGCAAACTCCGCATAGAAGGTACTGCAGCCTGGAATCGAACTCCATCTATTCACCACTACACTTAGCCTCCCAGCTAAGAATCTAAACTGGTTACATCCAGCAATCCACCCATCGGAGTTTTCCCTCCTTTCTCTGCTAAGCAAGGTGACCAGACAGGAGAGGCCTGCCCAGAGTTCAGTGCAGCGTCCAGCTGCGGTCAGCGATCCCTGCGCAGGGCGAAAGAGACAGCGGTCATACGTACGGTCACATTTCATCCCCTGGTGGATGAGGCCGTAGAGTAGAGAGCCGCAGTGGTCACAGAAGGTGGGGCTGGAGTACGTGTGCACCCGGAATTTGTGCTTACTCCTGGGGTCCTGGAAGAGAAACACACAGCAAACGAGTGACTTGGGCACCAGTGGGGCATGTCAGCAGGGAAACAACAGGAGACAACGGCTTTCTGTTTGCTTAGTCGGCACCCACTGCACAAGACTGAGCTTAAATAAGGGGAAAATGACTGATTGATCTAAATTCTGGAACAGTTAGGAAAGTAGTCAAGGTGGCAGATGTCACCACGATAGGCAGATTATCAAACAGTACAGAAATGTAATCAATGTAACAGGGACAATACGAGACTTTCCAGACACCTGGCAGATAAGGTTCAAAGCAGGCGAGCGCCGAGAAATACATTAGGAAGAAAAAACAAACTAGAAATAGAAAATGGGAAACACTGTGATAGAAGAGGCTATTCTTGGGGAAACAAAAAAGGCTTTGGTATTGATGTTCACACATCATTTACAGATTTAGTTTAGGGGAAAATTAAAAATGCGAACAACGTGTCAGGAGTGTTAGAAGTCAAGAATGTTAAAATTGTACAATGTACTACAGTATTAAGAATATTGTGCTTAATTTGGGCTTCTTCCCTATAGAAAAAGCACTGCTGCTCTAGCATTACTCTAGAAAAGTGGAATCAGATATCATTTGGGGGTTAAGGGAATGTCCTACACTGATAGGCTAAAGAAACAAATCCTTTCTTAGCCATGGATAGAGTAGAAATCCTCAAAGACGTTGACAAAATCAATTCAGTGGAAGTGAAACACAAACCAGAGGACACAAGAGCAATTAAAACAGAACAAGAGGCACTTCTTTGGTCAAAGTGTTGTGGGAGTATGGAACGGGCTCCCCAGTCATGTTGTTGAAGCCGATGCCCTGGCTTCCTGTAAAGAAACAGCTGGATAAGATCCTGGAATCAGTTAGCTTCGTGAGCAGCGATTGTTTGAATCCTTTCTTATTTTCTTATTGTGACTTTCTTCTTAGAGTATACAAGTAAGTAAAATCCAACACATCACATGCACCAGCCAGAGCTCTGGAACCACCCGAGATGGACAGGGTGACAAATAAGACCACCGCCTGCAAGGGGACATTTTAGACAAGCACTTCCTTCCGGAGACAACTTGCAGATTCAGCACAGAAATGCATGGCAACCTGCTGCTGTCCCATCCTGGTCATTAACAGCCCCTGCACATCTAGGAATTGCCCCTGTAAATCTTACCCATGGGTACCCTGTGGTTGGCCCTGGCGTTGCTAGCTTTTCCTAACTACCATTCCCAGAAAAGGCAGTTTGGCACAGCTCCTGAGCTGTTGAGGCTGCTTGTCAAGCCCAAACAATGATGCAGTCTGAGTCAACAGCAATCAATCTGGGGAAATATGTTTTGCGCTTGACAGCCTCTTAGCAGACAATACAGGCAAAATAACAGGCCCCAAATATAGCCGAGCCTCTTGATTGAACTGAGAGGGGAGGCGGGCCTGACACAGCTACAGCTGGTGGAGGACAGGCCATTATAGGCGGGAAATGTCACTGAGGCTGGGGCAACAGGCAGGGAGAGCTCATCGGAGACAGGCAGGAGACAACCGCAACCTCATTCCTGGCGGTTTCTTAATAAAGCAGGAAAATTGAAAGAATGGAAGCCGGCGAAGAGGAGCAACGGGCCCAGTCTCGGTGATGCTGGGAAATGATCTGAAGCGCTTCTGAAGGTCAGAGTGAGCCCTGATGCAGCAGGGCTTCGCATTCCAGCGTCCTGAACATGCTCCTCCGAGGTGGCTCGCTATCGGGGCGGAGCGGTGGCTCTGTGGCTAAGGATCCGCGCCTGTGACTGGGAGGTTGCCGGTTCAAATCCCGCAGCCGGCAGAGGAATCCTACTCCGTTGGGCCCCTGAGCAAGGCCCTTAACCCCAACTGCTCCAGGGGCGCCGTTCAACGGCAGACCCTGCGCTCTGACCCCAAGCTTGTCTCGTGGAGAGCAAGCTGGGGTCTGCGAAAAGATAATTTCCAATGCAAGAAATTGTAAAGGGTTAATAAAGTAATGTTATATATTATTATTATTATTATATTGGTGGCAGCTCGGAGAAGCGGCCGGCCCCTCCCTCCTCTCCCCGTTCTTCTTTTCCCAGTTTCCCGCCCTCTCCCTCGCCCCTCGGCGAGAGAGACTGCCCTTAACCCCTGCCCTTCTCCAACTGCGCGCACACACACCGTTGGCTCCCAGGTACAACCCCGAAACTGGTGCATCTGACCGCGTGGCCTCTCCCCAGCGTGAGCCTGTGGGGGTCCAAGATGGGGAGCAGGGGAAAAAGGGGGGATTGACCGACAGGGGTGCCGGGAGAGGACAGGGCAGTGAGGCATTCGCAAGGACGCTCAGCAGGGGGGCCCTGCAGAACCGCACTGCATGGAGTTTGTCTGAAGCATCCTGCACAGACTAACAACACAGGAGGAAAGAGACGCTGCCAACAGACGCCGGAGAAGGATCCAGGAAAATTGCATAATATCCTAGACATCTAGCAGGCATCAGAAGCTCAGGGCAGGAGGCACGACTGTACCCAGCCCACTGCAGGACAGAGATTGATTAATAGACACTAATGACCCTACATAGCAAGTGGTTAGAAGGTGGAGAGAACTTGAGAGGACTTGTAGGAAAGACACAGTAGCACAGGGAGCAAAGAAGGAAAATCCCAGAATCAAACTCAGGAGCATGGATATATGATATATATGGAGTTTGTGCTCTCAGGCTGGCAGATCAGAAGAGTGATCGAAACATATATTTGTTTTTAGCGAGGGGGTAAAAGAGACTCTCAGTTCCGAACGCTAAGGCCCTTTCTGATCCATCAACGGGCTTGGGAGGTTCGGGAATTCTCATCGCAAAACACCCTTCATCAGTGCTAGACATGCATCAGGGCGAATTATGGCAGTGAACATAAACTATGCCGCAAAAAAAAACTGTTCTAACCAGCCTTTCACAAAGAAAGGAAAAAGAAATTGCAGCCTCCAATTCAGGAACACTGAGTGTTGACGTGGATCAGTGCTTCCTATCCAAGTCGCTTGAAATCGGTGGCTGACTTGTGTGTGGGACCCGGCAGAGTGTCCAAACTCCTAACGCTGAATTTGAACCAGTCACTTGTTTAGCTGGACCAGCGTCTCCCAGTTCCTCAGATGACAGCAGCTGGAACGCATACAAGATGCACGGCAGCAGAAGTGCTATGGGTGTCCTCAGTGGAGGAAACACCTTGCAGCTCCATAGCAGTTGCTGTGCTGGTCTTGAGGACACAAGGGAGATGGAGACATCTGTCTGCTCCTCTGGCTCCGTCATCTTTTCTCCTTCACCCTTCTTGAGTGAAGGGCTCAGGGTCTTGCCACTGCAGTCCCGAGATAAAACCAGAACCACAGAACAATTCTGATGATGTCATTTACAATAACGCGAATGCGGTCTGCGAGAGGACATCTGATGGATGCCCGCTCCCCACCGATATTCATTTCCACAGCTTGATGAATGCCGTTAAAAAATTACAATTTAATGCTCGGGGATTATGCAATCAATAAAAAACATCACTCTTCGTCTCTCACAGCGAGCCTGGCACTGACTGACTTGGTGCATCCAAATGTGGCAGGCAGTGTAACATTGAGGGACCACATTATTTTATGCAAGAAAGCAGACGATGCTCTATTTGTGTCTATATAATACTTGGCTCTCGCCGACGGACTGTAACTACAGTGAAGACAGTGCCGGATTTCCCTTTAGGCACCGTAGGCACAGTGCCTAGGGCCTACGACGTTTTTAGGGCCTACGAAGGAGGGAGACACTAGTGACTAGGGAAAAAACGAGCTGAAACAAGATGCTTGCGATCGACTCTAGGTGCGCCAAATCAATAACCACACGCTCTCTAGAAACTAGGAGTATCGAAGTGGCGGTCTCTCGACTCGCTCCATCAATCACGTGTTTTAGCATTAGAGTAGTGCGTCATATCAATTGACGTCATTCAATTGGTGTTCACCCCTCTTTTTCGTAGTTCGTAGTGCCCAGGGCCTACGAACACCAAAATCCGGCCCTGAGTGAAGACCAACTGAGATGCTGATACGAAGTTCCACGTGACCCCCCCTCCTGTGCATTTCTGTTCCGATCTTTCCTTTCCCCGGCCCGGCACTGATGTTTGCGGTGTAACGCTGGCTCCGGGGACAAATTAAGAGTGTGTCGTCTCCTTGTGGGGAGCACATGGGACTGCAGCACAGCACATCTGCCCGCGTGCTGCTACGGTAACCTGAGACGGCAGGCGGGAACGGTCCCTGAAAAATTCATGAGCGTCACCCCGTGGGCTTTGTTCGAACCAAAACACTTATCAATCACTAGAGCGCAAAACAGTTTAACCACTGTCATTCATGTGCGCCACTGAGCAATTCGGTTTCCGGGATTAACAGCCCACAAAATAGTCTGCTGCCTTTAAGGGAGAGAATACCATGAAAAAAAACAAACAAACTGTCAATCATTCACTTTTATACTGTTTATATTATACTGTTAATATTGTTCCTGGCCTAGTACGCTGCTGGTAGTCAAGCAACAGCAAAGCACTAAGCAAGAGAAATATAGCTGAAGGGGGATAAAGCATAGTATCCGCTGTACAAAAGGTGTACAGACTTGCATCCAAAGCACTGACACTCCACCAACACCACACACACACACACACACCACCAATAAGACAAATGAGGGGTCAACAGACAAGAAAATGCAAAACAGAAGGGCTGATTCTCCAGGGATGTGTGTTGCTTATTGCGACTTTCCTCTTTGAGTATACCAGTAAGTAAAATCCAACACCTCAGGAACCACCCGAGACGGACAGACACCCACCCTGAGACACACACACCCGGAGCTGCTGTGGAAAAGCTGCCTCCTGGGCCGCAAACCCACAGGTTCATCTTTGTTGTGTCGCGGGGAGCCAGGAACTCATCTGCTTTACAGGCGCATCTCGCACCGAGGTTTTCATGCTAAATCGGCCAGTCGCTCCTCATTACTGGTGATGTCTCTCCCGCCAGAAGGGGCCGGATGAGGAGTGAC